AAGGGAGAGGTGTATTTGTCAGGAGAAGCTGGGCACTGAGGTACCAACAGCCCCGGCCGGGGAGGGCAGATCCCGGAGCTGTTGGCTCGATGCCCCGGAGTGCCTCGGGCAGGGAAGCGCCGGACAAAGAGCGCACACCGGCCTGTCCGAGCGCTGGGCACCGCTCCCAGCGCCTCTCGGGCCCCTGGGGCTCTGCCTTCCTTCCTTCCTTCGGGGCTGTTTGCCACAGCTGGGCGCAGCTGCTCCTGCAGCCCGGCACAGGCACGCGGTGTCCGTGTGTCTGTGTGTCCGTGTCCGTGTGTCCGCAGGCGCGGCGGGCCCTGCCTGCGGCCATCTAGCGGACACTCAGCTCCGGGCTTGTGCTCCACAAACCCCGATCCTTGAAACGCCCTCCTGGAATGCTCCGTCACAGGCAGGACGAGAGATCTGGTGAAGCAAAATTTCACAATTCTCAAGCCTGGAATTTTCCTTTAATAGATGAGGAATGCTTGGGCAGGGAAAAGATATATATATTTATACTGATAAGAAAAAAAAATCCAATATTGTCACAGACATCTTTCCATAAAAATCCTTTCTTTAGGATTTTTCCCCCTTCTGAGAAGCTGTGGCCTCAGCAACAAAATGTAAACAGTGGTTATCTGCTGCTGTGGAATGCAACAGGTGAATCCGTGATTGGTCTCGGGTGGATGTTTGGATTTACTGACCACTCACGGCAGAGCTGGGTCTCATTCTCTGCTGAGACACAGCCCTTTGTTATTAATTCCTTTTCTACTCTTAGCTTAGCTAGCCTTCTGAGAACTTTTCCTTCTATTTCTTTTAGCATAGTAATAATGTAATATATATCATAAAATAATAAATCAAGCCTTCTGAACATGAGGTCAACATTCTGGCTTCTCTCTTCATCCTGCAACCCTTGCAAGCCCTGTGACATTATAAAAATTCTCCTGTCTTTTTACCCTAGCTTGGAAAATAGCTGCCAAGAAAATGAGTGTTACCAGTGGAAAATTTTAGGTTGAAAAAACCAGAAACAATACACAGGAATACCACAGATGTTTTAAAATATCCCTTCACTAATTCAGATTTCTGAATTATGGCTAACCTCAGGGAGATTTCTCTCTTCAGCAGACCATGTTTCAGACACTGATTTGGTAAACAAACTAATATGATGAATGTGGATAACAAGGATGTGTCAAGTCTTATGTCCCCTTGCAAAATGAGAGATTTCTCCTCCTACAATTTGCTCTTCTGCATCATCAATAATCTGGAGAAGTATCAGTTGTCATCTGTGATTCAGAGGAGAAAACTGTTGAGATTATCCTTGCCAGTCTTGACTCCAAAATTCCCACTCCAAAACCCTTGCAACTCCATGGTCAAGTACAGAGTGCCTGAACTTTTATTGCTTTGGGCAGTGGGCACTGGAGGTGAGGGTTAGGTGATGATTTAAGTCAGAAACATTCCCACTTTTCACAACACTGCAAGACAAACCTGTGCACTTTTCCCCATTGTTCATTTTTGGAGAACAGGCTTCCTGGAGCAGTTTGCCAGATTTCACAAAGGGTGTTTGTGTGAAAATAGAGGTGTGAAACTTTTTGGGCTGTAATACATTGGTCCAAAAGACACCTCTGCACATCACATTGGGACAGCTTTGCACAAACATGACATACTTCAATCTAAAATCAATCAGAAGATTTCACCACTGCCCATGAGGTGTGGAAGCAGAAGCACAGTCCTTTCACCACAGCCTGGGCTGTGCAGCAGAGACCCAGATGAAAACAAGTGAGAAGGAAGGTGCAGGGTACAGAGCAAGGCCAGTAAAGCATTTCACAAAGCTGAGCCAATCCTCAGGGTGGGAAGGGGAAAGAGGAAATGTGGACAAACCTAGACATTGCTGGAAGCAGACCAAATCTTACACAGTCAGAGGAAGCTGTAGAGTAGATATATCTGAGCAAGGACAATAAGCAGCCAAAGAATGCCAAAACCACAAGAAATGTGTAAGGTCAGTAAAGTCTAAGGGGGAAACCCTCTCCTGGAAAAGTAAGGGGCCAATACTAAATAACTGCATACTTGGATGTTGTGCCTGATGTGCCAACACAGCTGAAAATAGCTCTGAGTTACTAAATCACTGCGTAATTCAGCTCAGAATCAAGGCATGTGAAAATTTTGGTAACATATCAATAAACTTGAAGAAATCACTGAGATCCTCTCATAAATGAAAGCCCCACTGATGGAGCCATCTGAATGAGGACAAAATCATGGAAACAGGACATGGGACAATCCTGCTGATTTGAAATGGCATGAGGACTGCCAGTGCCATGCTGGAGCTCATCACTCAATGTTCCTCAGAATGAGCTTGTGACAGAGATGCTTGACTGGGATCTGATCCCAGCAATACACAGTATTGAGCACCACTGGTTTCACTCATTTCATGCCTCAGATGAAGATATGGTTCCTAGTATTAAACCTAGATGGTCAGTCTTCCTGATTTCTGTTCTGCTAAACATTCTGGGATTTCAAACTTTCATTTTTCCTAATCAAAACCCAGAGGAAATTCCCATCAAATAACAAAAATTGGTTTTGGAAATCTCAGAATGATCTTACTGAGATGTTGATGCAATTTTGATTTTCTCATTTGGCTTTAAAGCATAGATTTTGCATGTCTTAGGCAGCTGAGATTAAAATACAGCATTCAGAAGAAAGCTATAGATAATTTTGATTACACTTCCACTGGCTGGACACAGTTTTTCCTGTGTGATTGAATCAGCATTTTTTGATTGAAGATTTTCTACCAGCTCTAGTCAAAATTGGGCTGCCAGCTGGCAAAGCTTCTGCTGCCTCCAGTATTTCCACTGCCATGGAAAAGGGGATGCTCCAGGGTAGCAGGTTTAAAACACTGCCATGGAAAAGGGGATGCTCCAGGGTAGCAGGTTTAACACTGCCATGGAAAAGGGGATGCTCCAGGGTAGCAGGGTTTGTGGCAGTGGGCAGTGCTGGGCCAGGCTGAGACCCAGCCAGGGAAAAGGAAGAGGAGCATGAGGCAGGCAGGAATATGATAGAGGCATCAGGGTAGGAGGGATGAGAAAGGGCAAGTGGTAAAAGCATCAGTAAAGAGACCCCTGCAGCTCTGCACCTTGTGCTCTGGAAATGGGAGGATTGCATGGCCTGGGAGAAGAGAGGAAGCTCTGCATTCCTGAGGGTCTTTGCTTAGGCCCTGGAGGATTTGAAACCCTCCCCGGTCCAGGGGTTACAGACTGGCAGTATGAAAGCATAAATCACACCGTTTATCATGCAGAGGAGGTGACATGTGGTGAAGCAGCCTCCTTCCTTTGCTTGGTAAAATCCTCTCTGACATGCACAGAGTGTCTTCTGCTGGGAGAAGCTGGGATCACAGCCAGTGGGACCAGCACCCCACCCATTCCACAGAGCTGTCTTGGGAAGCAGGCTGGCTGGGCTCCTGGGAATGGCCAGCAGTGGCTGTCATCAGTGCTAGCAAGCCACCCACCTGCCCACCCTGCAGCTCTGTCCCTACCATAAGGTTTCAGTGCTGGGCAGTTCTCCTCTGCACTGGTAGAAGAGATGATATTGCCTTGCCACCTGAGACCAGGACATCACTCAGTGTTATGGTCCCCATGGCAGAGCTGGGGGACTGGCACAGACCCCCGGTGCTCCCCACTGCAGCTTGAGTCCCCCACAGCTGCGAGTACTGGGGACAAGAGAGGGTTAAGCTGTCAGCTCTGTAATGTTAAACAGGTGTCAAAGGCACCTCCATATATCTGCAGATTGAAATCAAATTCTTTGCAGTATAAAAAGATAAATTACCCAGGCGATTCCCGCCTCATCCCACTCATCAGGCCAGCGCCAGACGGCAAGCAATTTTTTTTTTTAATGTGCTAACGACCTAATCAAGCAATCAAGTCGGAGAAGATTGCGGAGTGACCCCGAGCATCCATCTGCCAGCGAGACCCCGACATTCATTTCCATTCCGCCATGTACTTTCCGGGAAAGGGAGGGAAAAAAAATAGAAAAGAAAAAAAAATCCTAAACAAATTAACACCCAATTTTCTGTGAGTCTAATTAGTTAAATGAGGAGGTGTTTGGGGTGTCCACCGGGAGGGAGGGACTGCCTCTCGGAGAGGGGCCTGGTAACTCCATGGCATTAATTAGCGCAGGTCAATGGCGTGGTTCCCTGGGGACCAGCTGCTTTAATTTCCCGTGATATTTCAGTGCCTGAGGCCCATCGATTCAAACTGAAATTAACTTATTTTTCAATCAGGCCTGGGCTGCCCCTGGGGCTGACTCTTCCTTTGCCTCCTTCTGAATAGACCTCAAGCAATTTTTCATCTAAAGCTGATGCCGCTGCTCGGGGGGGAGAAGGGAGGGGAGCCGGGGAGGGAGGAGGGTGAGGGAGACAAGAGGAATGGAAATCGGAGAGAGAGCACTAATAGATTTCTGCGAGTATCACCCCCTCCCTGCCATTGCTGCCTGCCTCTCTGCTCACTGCCCCCCAGGTCACAGCTCAGAGATTATTCTGCCAATTTTCTGAGAAGATGAGGGGTTTTTCAAACTGGGAATTCAGGGCAAAGCGCACAGAGCAGCTTCCCCCTTCTTTAGAGCATCTGCCCCCATCCCAGCCCTCCCTGCAGGCACCGCTGCCTGCAGCCCTGTACCGCTGCTCAGACACACAGCAAATAATAAAAGAAAATCCCAGGCACGAGAGCCAAAAGCCACTAGAAAAAAGACGTTGCAATGGCAAATTAATTACATCCTGTGGAGAGGGATGGGACCTGCTTTCACACTTGGCCCTCTCCACTCCTTCAAGGGAGGGAGGGAGAGATACCCAATGTCTGTTGCATGGTGGAAGAGGTTGTATTGCCTTTGGGATAAACATCCACCCATCTGCTTTCATCATGCTGCAGAAGTACATGTATGTTCCCATGTAGGAAGGGGCCTGGCACGCCTTCTCCATGCACAAAACCCATGTCCCTCCTTGTTGCTTGCTCCAGGTTTGGTTCCAGAACCGCCGGGCCAAATGGCGGAAGAGGGAGAAGTGCTGGGGCAGGAGCAGTGTGATGGCTGAGTACGGGCTCTACGGTGCCATGGTGCGTCACTCCATCCCGCTGCCTGAGTCCATCCTCAAGTCTGCCAAGGATGGCATCATGGAGTCCTGTGCCCCTTGGCTCCTGGGTAAGAGACCAGCCAAATTCATGGGGGATAGCAAATGGGTAGAGACAGGGGGATGCAGGGAAGAAATCAGAGTCGTGTTGAAAATAGGTGAGGGGCAGCAGGGCAAGGTCCCCCCATCCTGCCACCCTCAATGCCTCCATCTGCCAACGACCCTTGCCAATAGAGTTCCACCATATTCCTGCTGGACCTTGGATCATGACCTCCAGAATCTGGCTGGACACAAATTTGCCCACACACTCAGGCTGGCGCTGACCTTCCCTTCCCTTCCCTTCCCTTCCCTTCCCTTCCCTTCCCTTCCCTTCCCTTCCCTTC